TCCAGTAAGAATGGCAGCCATTATGAAGTCAAACAACAACAAGTGCTGGCGAGGATGTGGGGAAAAGGGTACTCTTGTACATTGCTGGTGGGACTGCAAATTGGTGTGGCCAATTTGGAAAGCAGTATGGAGATTCCTGGGAAAGCTGGGAATGGAACCATCATTCGACCCAGCTATTGCCCTTCTCAGACTATTCCCTGAAGACCTTAAGAGAGCGTACTACAGGGATACTGCCACATCGATGTTCATAGCAGCATAATTCACAATAGCTAGACTGTGGAACCAACCCAGATGCCCTTCAATAGACGAATGGATAAAAAAAAATGTGGCATTTATACACAATGGAGTATTACGCAACACTAAAAAATGACAAAATCATGGAATTTGCAAGGAAATGGATGGCATTAGAGCAGATTATGCTAAGTGAAGCTAGCCAATCCCTAAAAAACAAATGCCAAATGTCTTCTTTGATATAATGAGAGCAACTAAGAACAGAGCAGGGAGGAAGAGCAGGAGGAAAAGATTAACATTAAACAGAGACATGAGGTGGGAGGGAAAGGGAGAAAAAAGGGAAATTGCATGGAAATGGAAGGAGACCCTCATTGTTATACAAAATTACATATAAGAGGTTGTGAGGGGAATGGGAAAAAAAACAAGGGAGAGAATTAAATTACAGCAGATGGGGTAGAGAGAGAAGATGGGAGGGGAGGGGGGATAGTAGAGGATAGGAAAGGTAGCAGAATACAACAGTTACTAATATGGTATTATGTAAAAATGTGGATGTGTAACCGATGTGATTCTGCAATCTGTATTTGGGGTAAAAATGAAAGTTCATAACCCACTTGAATCTAATGTGTGAAATATGATATGTCAAGAGCTTTGTAATGTTTTGAACAACCAATTAAAAAAAAGGATTGCAATGCATTTCGCTGTCATATATAAATAAAAATAAATAAATAAATAAATAAATAAAATTGTAGCAGAAATAAATAAGTAAATACTTTAAAAATATATAAAATATCAACAAGATTGAGTTGGTTTTTCAAAAAGCCTACAATGATACAAAGCTTGATTTATATGTAACAAAGTCCTAGGTTCAATTCTCAACATTGCAAAAATAAAGCATAAATAAATAAATAAAACGGACAAAAATTTTAGCTATATTAAAAAGAGAAAATTCAAATAAAATAAAAAATGAAAGAACAGATATAACTTCTACCACAAATACAAAGAAGGCAACTGTGAACAATTATATGACAAAAAATTGAATAACCTAGAAACATATAACCTACCCAGGCTGTACCATGAATAAATTAGAAATTTAAACAGAGCAATAATGTATAACAGCTTCCCATCAAAGAAAAGCCCAGGACCAGAGTTTCATGGCTAAATTCTACCATTTAAGGAATAATTAACAACAAACCCTTCTCAAATTATTTTCTGTAAAAATTAAAGAGTAGGGAACACTTGCAAACTCATTTCACAAGGCTGGTATCACTCTGACCAAAATGAGACAAAGATACTACAAGAAAACTAAAGTATAAGTCAATATATTGATAATCATAAATTTTTAACAAAAACTAGCAAACCATATTCAACTATACATTGATGGACATTCTAGGCTGGTTCCATAGTTTGGCTATTGTGAACTGTGGTGCTATAAACATGAGTATGCATGTGTCTCTATATTATGCTGACTTTAATTATTTTGAATAAATACCAAAGAGTGCTATGGAGGGTCATATGGTGGTTCCATTCTTAGCCTTTTGAGGAATATCCACACTGCTTTTCATAGTGGTTGTACTAATTTACAACCTTACCAAGAGTACGAAAGTGTTTCTTTTTCTCTACAACCTTTTCAGAATTTATTAGTTTATATTCTTGACTACTGCATCCTAACTGGAGTGAGATAAAATCTCAGTGTAATTTTGATTTGCATTTTCCTAATTGCTAATGATGTTGAACATTTTTTTCCATATATTTATTGACCATTTGTACTTATTCTTTTGAGAAGTGTCTGTTTAATTCATTAGCCTATTTGTTAACTGGGATGTTCCTTTGGAGTTAAATTTTCTGAGTTCTTTATATGTTCTTAATCCTCTGTCAGAAGAGTAGCTAGCAAAGATTTTCTCCCATTCTGTAGGTTTTCTCTTCACATTCTTATTTGTTTCCTTCACTGTGCAGAAGTTTTTTAATTTGACACTATACCATTTATTAACTTTTGGCAGTATTTCTTGAGTCTTAGGGACCCTAGTGGAGAAAGGTGCTGCCTGTTCCTATATGTTGGAATACTGGCCCTATATTTTTGTCTAGGAATTGCATAGTTTCTGGTGTAATTCTTAGGTCTTTGATCCATTCTGAGTTGACTTTTTGAGTAAATTTTACCATGTGAGTGAGATATCTGTATATTGAACATATAAAACATTGATGAAAGAAATTGAAGATGATATAAATGAATAAAAAATGGCCAATGTTCATAGATTGTAAGAATTAACATTGTCAAAATGTCCGTACTATTCAAAATGATCTTCAGATGAAAGGTAGTCATTATTAAAATTCCAATTTTGTTCTTACAGAAATAGAAAAAAAATCCTGAAATTCATATGGAACCACAAACTACCCAAATAGCCAGAGCAATGTTGACCAAAAAGAACAAAATTGGGTACTGGATTTAAAACAAATTACAAAGCTATGGAAATCAAAACATCATGGTCTTGTTATTTGTCCACTGGGATAGGAAAGAGAACCCAGAAATAAATGCATATACCTATAGTCAACTGACTTTTGACAAAGGCACAAAGAATACACACTTTTCAATAAATGGTGTTAGTACAACTGGCTATACACATCAAAAGAATGAAAATGGAATCTTACATCATCCACTATATAAGGATCAACTCAAAATGAATTGAAAACCTAAATGTAAAATCTGAAACGTACAAAACAAGTAGAAGAAAATATAGGGGGGAAAGCCCAATGACAATTGGCCTAGGCAGAAATTTCTTAGATCTGGCCCTGAAAGCACAGGCAATGAAAACAAAAATAGAAAAATGAAATTTCATCACATTTAGAAACTTCTTCAAGCAAAAGAGGACACAAGTAGGGCTGGAGATGTGGCTCAAATGGTACCACACTCGCTTTAGCATGTGTGAGGCACTGGGTTCGATTCTCAGCACCACATAAAAATAAAGATGTTGTGTCCACCTAAAACTAAAAAATAAATATTAAAAAAAGAGGACACAAGTCATGGAAAGGGAAAGAAATACTTAGAAATTATACATTGGATAGGAGCTACTACCCTAAATATTCAAAAACAAAAAGAAAAACCCATTTAATAATGAGCACAGAAACTGAATAGAAATTTTCTCAAAAGAAGACTTAGAAATAGCCTACAGATATTTTTTAAAATTTTAATTTTAATTTTAAATTTTGTAAAAATACTCAACATCTCTACTCATCAGAGAAATGCAAACTAGGACCAGAAGGAGCTATCGCCTCATACCTTTTAGATTGACTATTATAAAAAACACACAAAATATTGGCGAGAACATGGAGAAAGGGGAACTCATACATTATTGGTAATATTTTCAAGTAGCACATCCATTTTGGAAAACAGTATGATACTTCCTCAAAAATTTAAAAATAGATCTACCATATGATCAAGCAATCCCACTATTGGATATAGCTGAAGGAATTGAAATCAATTATACTTAAAAGATGTCTGTACTCCCATATTCATTGCATCATTATTCATAATAGCCAAGATATGGAAACTATGTAAGTGAATAGGTTTTTAAAACATGGTATATTAACACAATGGAATATTATTCAACCTTAAAAAAACAGGAAACTGTCATTCATGAAAACATGGATGAGCCTAGAGGACATTATGTTAAGTGAAATAAGCCAGGTACAGAGAGGCATATACCATATGATCTCCCTTATTTGTAGAATCTAAAAAAGTCAAACTCATAGAAGTAGAGAGTTAAGTTGGTGGTTACTAGTGCCTGAGGGCAGGAGCAGGTGGAGAGGGAAAGAAAAGTCAAAGTTAAAGTTGAATAGGAGGAATAAATTTTGATGTGCTATTACACAGCAAGGTGATTATAGTTAAATAATAATGTATTGTATATTTCAAAATATCTAAGAGAGGGTTTTAAATGTTCTCACCACAAAGAAATGATAAAAATACAAGGTGATGAATACACAAATTTACTTGAATTGGTGATCTCACAGTGTATAAATATATCAAAACAACACCATAAATATAAGCAATTATTATTTTTCAACTAAAATTTAAAGCTTAAGAAAATAAAATTTGATATAATTCAAGATATACAACATGATGATTGATATAAATACATAATTGTGTGATAGTTAACAAACTAATTAACACGTCCATCACAACCCATCATTACCATTTATCTGGTAGAGGGGAACATTGCTTCCTTTAGGAAAAAGGTCAGTACATTAGTTAAACTTGAGAAATAAACTCTTACTATGTTAACTACAGGGTGTTTTACTACTTTCATTTCTGCCTAAAAAAAATATACAACAAAGGGTTGGGGTTGTGGCTCAGTGATAGAGCACTTGCCTAGCATGTGTGAGGCCCTGGGTTTGATCCCCAGCACCATATAAAAATAAATAAACAAAATAAAGTATTGTGTCTATCTACAACTAAAAATATTAAAATATATATATACACACACACACAACACTAAGTATTATAGTATGTATGCTAGAAGGTATTATTAATCTCAAGATAGGAAATTAAATATTTATTCTCTTAAAAAGAACATTACCTTTGACTTAAAATTTAAACATGTTAAACCTGGTAACATATAACAGAAGGTAACAAAATTTACTTATCCTAATTAAAGTGGTTAAATAGACTACCATCCTCCAAACAGAGTAATTTCATTACTTTAATAAAACTCTGTGAACAATTGAGTAATCAGTTGAATTTGTTGTGCAAAGCAAGTCATTCACATAGGTTTACTTACATTATAGTCAGCTTCAGGAAGTTTAACACCAGGAAATAAGTCACTAGTTATGCCATTAAATAAAGGTATGTCATGTGACAGAAACTTTGGTTCATTCACATCTTTAATTGATCGAAGAAGCTAAAATCACAAAAAAGGACAAAATAAGTTAATTGCCTACATTTATTGTTCCATTCCACCCCTCTAACCAAAATTTTTCTCCATGGAATTCCCAAAGTGAAAAAAATAAAAATAATTCTATGCTTATCAAGCCAAAAGGTCCTTGTATTCATATAAATAATAATAAACATAACCCAAAACTATAATTTCAACCCCACATAGAAAGACTTGAAGCAATACCTGCCTTACTTGCCTCTGCATCGTTCCTGACTGATCTCACTAAAAAACTTTTCTACTGAAAATTTCACAGTATATTTAGATGTATATAAATATTTAATACTTACCAATATATCTTCATTTTCATTTGGATATTTTAGTTTTAGGTTTCCAGCAGCCACTAAAACTGCTTTTACTGCTCGCATTCCATAGTCATAATGAAATTGCGATGAGAGCTGCTCTGAGCAAAGTCTGTAAGTCATTACTATCTTCACAGACAGAGGTTTTGCATTCAAAAATCCATAGGAGTAGAGGGAAATTTCTGCTATAAGGGCATAGTTTGGAACCATCATAGCCACTGTTCTAAAAAGAACCTGGAGTATATAATAAATAAAATATTTACATAATATAAACCATTTTAAAAACTAGTTATAAGCATTCAAAGAAAATGTGTTGATATTCAAGTTTATTCCCCCATAGCAACACATTTTCATAAAAATATTAAAGTGCTACTGAAAAAACAATTATAGTTTATGTCCTTAGTATCTTTTGTATGTCTAAAAAAATTATTAGAAGCATACCTTATATCAAATGGAGTTAAAATGGAAATAACAGATACATGGGAAGAATGTTAATATTTTGAATATTGTGCTATTATTTATGATTAACAAACTTAAAACTTTAACAAATATTACCTTAAGGTTGTCTGGCAATTCAGAACGCCCTGCATAGCCAGGATTCATGGTAATAGCTACAAAACAGTTTGGATTGAGCTTAAGTTCTGTCCCTTCAAAAACAAACACTTCCAACTTCTGTTGAATGGCTCTCTGAATGCAAAGGATCTGTTGAGCCACCACTGACAACACCTCCAACTCAATTCGATTAAATTCATCAAAGCAAGCCCAAGCACCAGAAGAAGCCAATCCTTTAAAGAACTAAGGAAAAAAAAAAAAAGAAAGAAAAATAGAGGTGATTTTTCTTAGGAAATGTCATCAATATATATGTTCTTCTCTTCTTGGTACCAAGAATTGAACCCAGTAGTGCTTAATCACTGAGACATACCCCCACCCTTTTCAATATTTTATTTAGAGACAGGGTCTCACTATTTTGCTTTAGAGCCTTGCTAAGTTTTTGAGGCTAGCTTTGAACTTGTGATCCTTCTGCCTCAGCCTCTTGAGCCACTGGGCTTACAGGAGTGTGCCACTGTGCACGGCAGAAATGTCACCAACTATTAAAACAAATGTTTAACCTTTTGAGTAAAAGTTGAAAGCTCAGTTTGATAAAAGTCCCAAGAATAAAAACAACGTTTTTAGCTCTAAAGCCAACATTCAAGAAATGCTTAACCCACACTGCAATAGTATTTATATAAGTCTGCTTCAGTTTATCCAGTTAGACTTAAAGCTACAAAGTTTGGAACATTTAATATTATCAACTCAGTAAATGAATCACCTTTCCCATTGCTAGATAATCTAGCCCATCTGAACAGTTGAATACCACACACTGTACAGCAAGAGCTTTAGCCAAGTCCTTGGTAGTTTCAGTTTTTCCTGTGCCTGCTGGTCCCTCTGGAGCACCTCCAAGGTTTAAATAGAAGGCACCTATCTGAAAAGGAAAATATATATGAAAAGGAAACTATGCATCACCGAAAACAAACAAACAAATAGATAATTGCTTACCAAATGGATTTATTCTTAGTTATAGCTTCAGAGAAGCTGGTTATATATTTTATTGTTGTTACTTCTATTTATTTATTTTGTATCAGGGATTGAACCCAGGGGTGCTTTACCACTGAACCACATCCCCAGCCCTTTTTTATTTTATTTTGAGAAAGGGTCTCACTAAGTTGCTGAGGGCCTTGCTACATTGTTGAGGCTGGCTTTGAACTATGATCCTCCCACCTCAGCCTCCGGAGCCACTGGAATTAGAGGAACATGCCACCATGCCCATTGTGTTCAGTTACTTTTTAGCATAGAAGTTTCTGGTTGCAAAAAGAAAAGCAGCTTAAAATACCCAAGAAGAATGAAAATGCATCAAAATCTTGTTTTCTAATATTTCATATGTATCCCATTTACCTTTAAAAACAAAGAACATCTAGCTTTGAAGGGGTAAAATTAGTTCAAAAAGGTTTTAATTAGAAGTTATGGAGATGACTTTAGAAGACAATAGTGACACATTCTAGATGGTCAGTTGAAGAGGACAATCACCTGAAGTGAGTACTGTTTGAAAGAGAAACAAATGAACTATTCTACAAATTTTGGCCATGATTTGCCTGGCTGTTGTCTTCTGTTCTCTATACGTTCTCCATTTTCTCCATGCCCATAGCACTGTTCTATACTTCTCTTACCAGTTCTATTGTTTTTTGCCTTGTAATGTTATTACATACACTCTTTTTCTCATAAATTAGTATTTAAGCTCCTTAAGTAAACATCAACAGTATCTGAATTATTTCTGGGTCTTTACATTAATTAGAACAGCAACTGGAAATTTTTAGCATAGAAATTACAGCCTGTTCTAATTATGGAATTTGTTTCACAAAAATCACCACAAGAGTTTGTGAAACTTAACTCCTTTTAGAAAAAAATAGGGTTAAAGGATCAAGATTGTAAATTTGGGTGTACAGGGGAAATAAAAGAACCCTGTACTTTCCATTTAATTTCGCTATAAACCTAAAACTTTTCTAAAAAGTGCAGTCTATTTTTAAAATAAATCCATAAAAATGATAAACTTTTTTACTTTTACCAAAAAACCAATAGAGATAGCTAAGTAAATAAAGGCAATATCAAAGATATTATACTTGTTTTAAATTTATAATGGATGTTATACCATTAACTTAATTTCTGGGAACCTTGGCCTCTCCCCTCAACTTCAAGAAAATGCTCACAAGTATGTTCTTTTTATTTTATTTATTTATTTATTTTGATTGTACACCTATTATTTTCTCTTTTATTTACTTATTTTTGGTTTTGGTTCATAAATTGTGATGCTTTCTTTGTTCTTAGGAATTCACATGATTGAGTTGCTATATTCTTTTTTTTAATTAGTTACACATGACAGTACAATGATCTAGACATATCATATATTTGCATCATATGGGATATAATTTCTTATTTTTCTGAGTGTACAGATTGCAGAATTACATTGGTCATGCAGTCACGTATACACTCACAGCAATAATAATGCCTATTTTATTCAGGTAGCTTGCTGAAAAAACAGAGGGTTTGGTGAAAGGTTTTATCATAGAAATTACAGTCTGTTCTAATATCATAGATATTATCTAATATCATAGACCTTTTAGAATCTCATCCAAATCCCCCTTTATCAGATCATTACATTCGCCTCCCATTTGCTGTGAAATCTTGGTTGCAAATAGCTCAGAGTTGCTTTTTTCTCCTAAGAACTGTCCTCAGCTTGCTCTCCTATTGGAACTACCTCATCAGCAAACACTGGAAAGCTTACTCATTCCTTTGTCCCAGAGGTGACTAACCAACGACAATAAAGGGGTACAAAAGCCAGATCTTATTGCCTTAAAGTAAAGTAACTCATGTCATTCATGCTTCAAAGCTCCCCTTGAGATCCTGCTACAACTATCCATTGCTCAAACCACTTCTTCATTTAATTTTTCCCCAGCCCAAAACTGTTGCCCTCATTTCCTTACAGATTTTTACTGAGACCATTCCCTAAGAAATAAATCATTTGCACAAGTATCTTTATTTCTTCTCTGCTTCTAGAGAACTCAATAGAAGACACCTTCATTTCACTTACATACGTGGATTGGTATTCCTTGATGTTCCTCTTCAATTCCCAGGTTGGGTTGCCAGATTTAGCACAGAAAAATCTGAAATGCCTAATTAAATTTAAATTTCAGATAAATAATAAATAATTTATTAGTATTACAAAAGTATGTCCCTTGCAATATTGAGGACATACTAAAAAAATTACAGTCATGCATCATATAATGATGTTTCAGTCAACGGTGGACTACATAGATGATGATATATACAACACACTTTAGATAAACTATACCATCTAGTTTTGTGAAAGCATATTCTGATTTTTGCATGATAAAATCACCTAATGATGTATTTCTCAGAATATATCTCTATCATTAAGTGACACATGACTGTCTTTGTTATTTGTTTTAAATTCAGAGTTAACCTGGGAGTAAACCTGGCAACCATATTCCCAGGGTTTTAACAGTCATTGTTCTATCTTCCATAGCTTCACAACTAAGCACAGGCCTAACTAAGCATAATCCCCTACATGTAAGCTCTGTCCTTCCTATTGAGTCGCACTAAGTTGGAGTTCCAGGACCCAAAGGTACTTTTCTCATCTTTCTCTCATCTCTCCCAGTATCCCACTATAAAAACTAATACTATTTTGTGAAGCTTTGGCTTTATTTTTATATTTTCAGTCCCTCCCTTTTTCTAATTATTCACAATGGAAGAGACTCACAACTTCTATACATTAGAATTAAAAACATTCTTGTATGCTATAAAAGTACCCAGAAGTAATTATTTATTGCCATAATTTCACATAAAGAGAATTTGGGATTAAGAAGGGATAATTGTATTCAACTACTACCAGTAAAACAATAAATGAAGAGAGCCATATTAAATTTAGACAAAAAAATTTGACACCTCACTGAAAAGTAATTTTAATGTATGGATTAAAATAATTTAAATGCAGGCCAGGTGTGGTGGCACACACCTGTAATATCAGTGGCTCAGGAGGCTGAGAGAGGAGAATCACAAGTTCAAAGCCAGCCTCAGCAACAGTGAGGCGCTAAGCAACTCAATGAGACCCTGTCTCTAAATAAAATACAAAATAGGGCTGGGGATGTGGCTCAGTGGTCGAGTACCCCTAAATTCAATCCCCAGTACCAAAAAAAAAAAAAATTAAATGCATACCAATGTTCTGTAACACCTGTCAGTTAGAGGAGTAATGACAAGTCGAGGTGAGTTACCAAGATATTCATAAGCATATTTTACATCACAATTAATGATACGAACTCGAGCATTCTCATATTCCCAATAATAACGAAGCTGAGCAAGCCACTGGAAATCTGTATCATGTGAGACACCTAGAAAGAATAAAACACATAATCCTTAAATGAAAATAATTCGAAAAATAGTATTTTATCAGCAAATATCAAACAATTCACGTTTCCCAACTTATAGAAAAGATCATGCAATTCTGTTGAAAAAGACATACAGTAATAAATCTTTATTCCTGAAAGCTATAAATATTTTTAACTTTAATATTAAAGGAAAAAGTCGGCCTGGGGTTGTGGCTCAGTGGCAGAGTGCTTGCCTCGCATGTATGAAGCACTGGGTTCAATCCTCAGCATGATGTAAAAATAAATGAATAAAATAAAGATTAAAAAATTATGTTCATCTACAACTAAAAAAAAGATTTTTAAAAATATTAAAGGAAGAGGGGCTGGGTTATGGCTCAGCAGTAGACCACTCGCCTAGCACGGGCGAGGACCTGGGTTCGATCCTCAGCACCACATAAAAACAAATAAATAAACAAAGTATTGTGTCTAACTACAACTAAAAATAAATATTTTTTAAAAATATTAAAGGAAGAAGTCACAAACCTGTTTCAATCATGTCCATGACCACATCTCTAGCATGGACATCAATTGTAACTAATGCCCCCAGAGTGATCCTGATCTGCTTAGACAATTTTCCTCTTACCAGCTCTACAATATCATTTAGTTGATTCTGGAGTTCTATATAGTACTTCTTTAATCCCTACAAAATAATAAAACAATTTAATGGATTTTATATGCATTACCTAAATCTATATTTTATATATTTATTCATTTACAAAAGAATTATGACTTCATAATCTATCCCATATAGAAATACATTATAGGGGGGCTGGGGATGTGGCTCAAGCGGTAGCGTGCTTGCCTGGCATGCGTGCGGCCCGGGTTCGATCCTCAGCACCACATACAGACAAAGATGTTGTGTCCACCAAATACCAAAAAAAATAAATATAAAAATTCTCTCTCCCTCTCTCTCACTCTTTCTTTAAAAAAAAAAAAAAGAAATACATTATAGGGCTGGAGTTATAGCTCAGTGATAGAGCACTTGCCTAGCATGGATAAGGCACTGAGTTTGATCCTAAGGACCACATAAAAATAAATAAGATAAAGGTATTGTGTATACCTACATCTAAAAAAAAAGTTAAAAAAAGGGATACATTATAGAGTGGATTTTCTCTAAACCCAGTAAAAGAATAAGTTTTCTAAGAAATATATAATTTAATACTATATACAGAAATTTAGGGAAGTATTGCCTTTGCAAAGAATAGACAAACAGCCAGGTGCAGTGATTATAGGTGCAGGCCTGCAATCCCAGCAATTTATGAGGCTGAGGCAGGAAAATTGCAAGTCCAAGGCCAGCCTGGGCAACTTAGTGAGAACTTGCCTTAAAATAAAGAAATGCTGACTATGTAGGTTAGTGGTAGAGCACCCTTGGGTTTATTTCTTAGTACTGAAAAGAGAGAGAGAGAGAGAGAGAGAGAGAGAGAGAGAGAGAGGGAGGAAGGGAGGGGGGGGGAGGGAGAGACACACAGAAAGAGAAAGAAACAGAGATACAAGCTAAATATGCAATGAAGTAAAGAATGTTGTTCAAATTCAAATAATCTTTACCTCTGTCCCACTACTTATAACTTCCTGTGTCTCAGAAGTCCAGAACATTTGAGAAACACAAAGTACAACCTGGCCAGGCCACTCTCTAACCCAGTCTCTTCTTGGAGATTCTGGATAAGCCTGAATAATTAAAAGTAATTTCTAATTTTAAAAGATTGCAGAAGAAAAGAAGCTAAATGTTTTATAATGTAAAATTCAATATTTAGTATATTTGTGGGTTATAATATCATACATCCATGAAAAACTTTGGAAGATTAAAAGATGTGAAAATTTTTACAAACCAAGATTATATTTTTGACATGTTTCTTTATTTATAGAAGAACTAAAAATGAGCATCAGTATGCTAGTAATGGGTTATCTCTGGACAAATGTGATTGTTGATTCTTCTTGAAGTTTATTTCTATGTGATTTTTATATTCCTTGCTATGGGAGCTGTCAAGTTTTTATAAAGAATACATATTACTTTTATTACAAACCAACTTAAACTGTAAAAAATAAAGTCAAATAGATTTTGTATACTGATGACATATTTAGTTGAAAAGATGACTATATAATCTAGTAGAAAACTGGACTAGAAGTTACAACCCTTATACTATTTATCTACAGCTTTTCTAAAAACTTCTATGACCAGAGTATATAAACAATTTGTTTGATTATATATAATTGAAAAAATCTGTGCTTTGGTGTTCAAAGTGTATACTTTCATTTATTTCTAAAGCTTTCATATTTAAAAGATATTTAAATAGATTTGTGGATTCATTATAAAAATAGTTTACTTTGATAATAAATGATAATGCCGACATAAATTATATATTGAGAAAACCAAGTACAGATTGAATTTTGAAGTTGATGCTAATGGAAACTATGCTTTCAATACAATCATACCATCTTATATATAAGAATGTGTTTAACATAACACAGACTATAAATATACATTGTTACAAAATCCTTATTATTAGCAATCTTTGTAAACAAATGACAATAACCTAAGGCTTTAAAGAAGGATGAGCAGTGATATTAAAGCATATTTTCTATAGTGATTAAGGAAATACTATCGTGGATAATGTTTATTCTTTCTTGTGTGTTTTAAGTTTGTTTGGAATTATAAGTAGCGAAAGGAGAGAAAAAGTACAGCTTTATCTGCAAGAACAGAAAAGCTACCACAAAAGAATGAGCTGAATGCGTTCTTGATAAAATAAAAAGGCTACTTCATTCATGCAGAGAATTGCTGATATAAGTCTATAAGGGCTTCAAAAACTATTTCTTGTACAATATAATTGCTCCTTTGTGTTCCTAAGGCAGAAACACATTGAAGTTTATCATTCAAGATTATCATTAAGTGAGGTACATGTACTACCTAGGTGTTGTATTTTTTTCCAATTTATTATGTATCCTCCTTCGATGTTTGTTCGTCTCATTTGGAATTTTAAAGTAGTTGTAAGTGTAAAAAACAGCAAGTGAACTAGATCATTCACTTAACTATTTGAGGAGAACTAACCTACAGGGCAGCCAAGCACTGAAGGGCATGATGGTTTGCCTACAAGACATATACACAAGGCTACCTTATAAGCATTTCAATTAAACACGTCTCAAATTAAACCCATGATTTTTCTCCCAAGCTTCCACAAGCCTGCTTCTCTTCCAGGCATCTCCACAGAGTAAATGCCACCCATATACTCAAATCAGAAAACTTAATGCTAATTCTTGAGACTTGCCCCTCCTCATCTTTCTACTCTACAACCAATTCATCACCAAGACCTGTTGAAATTAACTACAAATTATGTTTCTGTCTACTTTGCTCCACATCTTTTGCTACTTCCCTAGTACCAGCCCATATCACTTTTCATCTGGTGTCTCCCAATTTGCCTTCCTATTTTCATACACCAACTAATTCATTCTTTATACCACAGCCATAGTGGTGTAAAAATATAAATCAGACTATATCCCTTCTCTGATTAAAATATCTTTAGCCTTTCATAGTATTTAAAATAAAATGCAATCTAGTAACTGTGTTCCTTTCCAACCTCATCTGACTTTACTCTGTACTCACTCTATTCCAGACACAGTTGTCTTCTTTGAGGTTCTCACAAATCCCTGCTTCTTTTTGATGCCAGGGCCTTTACCCAGGACACCTACACTCTCTTCCACTTGCTTTTCACCTGGTTATTCCCTATTTATCATTTGTGTCTCAGTTTCAACCTCAGTTTCTCTAAGAGCCTATCAGTGGACCCTCCCCCATTCTATATAAAAATACCTTTTATTATTTTCTAATATCATTTTGTAATATTTAGACACATATTATCAATTCTAACTAATATTGTTATTTTAATCTTAGTTACAAATAAATAAAATAATAAATGGTTTAAAACAGAACTTTAAGTATTAATTTATTGGTACCAACTCAAACCTTCTAAACAGCATTTGCAGAATATAGTTTTATACATTAAGTCCTAAGAAACATACCAGCCTGGCTGCAGCAATCACATCATGAATACTTCGAAGCATTAGATCTTCTACTTGAATGAGCCACTTTTCTACAGCACCGCGGGCTATAGATGTGGAAATGAGTTCAATAAGCTCCACTCGCTCACCTTCAGAGCTATACATGGCCTTAATGTCCAAATTGGGAAGGAACTCCAATTTAGCAATGCCCTCAAAGCATTTTTTTAAGTGAGGCTGAACTCTAAGTGGATCTTTGGTTTCTGACAAAATCTCCAACATTTCATCATTAGATAAGAAAAAAAAACTAAAAAAAAAACATGCAAATACAAAAACTTTAGTGATATTCATCAATATCAGATAACACTTTAAATCATAGCACTTTTGATTATCCATCATACCGAGGGAAGAAAAGACGTTTCTTTTCAAGATATGCATTAAGTCCTTTCATAATTTTATCCAAAAGTTCATTGCAGTTTTGTAGTTTTTCCAATAAACCTGTTAAAGAAGTAGCAGCAAGAACCTAAAAGAGACATGTTGGTGTAAGAGACACTTGTGTACTAGATATAAGACCTAAACAATCTATACTATATGATAAAATATTATAATTTCAAAAAGTTTACACAGTGAATTTTTTTAATTTTTAAAAATTCTAATTAGTTATATTTGACAATAGAATGAATTTTGACACACTGTACATAAATGGAGCATAACTTCTCATTCCTCTGGCTGTACATGGTGCTGAGTCACACCAGTAGTGTAATCATAAATGTATATAGGGTAATAATGTCTATCTCATTTTACTATCCTTCTCACTCCCACCCCTCCTCTCACTCCCCTCTGCACAATCCAGAGTTCTATCATTCTTCCCTACCTGACTCCTCACTATGCCCTGCTTATCAGAGATAACATTCTGCCTTTGGTTTGTGGGGATTGATTTATCTCACTTAGCATGATATTCTCTAGTTCTATTCATTTACTTGCAAATGCCATAATTTCATTCTTCTTTAAGGCTGAGTAATATTCTACTGTGTATATGTACCACATTTCCTTTATCCATTCATCTGTTGAAAAGCATCTAATTCACAATAGCTAAACTATGTTGGTTCCATAGTTTAGCTATTGTGAATTGAGCTACTATAAATATTGATGTGGCTGTGATACTGTAGTATGCTGATTTTAAATCCTTTGAGTATAAATTGAGGAGTGGGATAACTATGTCAAATGGTGGTTTCACTCCAAGTTTTCTGATGAATCTCCATACTGCTTTCCATAGTGGTTGTACCAATTTATAGTCCCACCAGCAATATATGAGTGTACCTTTTCCCCACATCCTTGCCAACATAAATTATTGCTTATATTCTTGGTAATTGCCATTCTGATTAGAGTGAGACGAAATCTTAGAGTTGTTTTGATTTGTATTTCTCTAATTGTTAGAGATGAATTTTTATATATATTTGTTAATCAATTTCATTTCTTCTTCTGTGAAGTGTCTGTTCATTTCCTTAGCCCATTTATTGATTGGATTATTTGTGTGTGTGGGGGGGGGGTTTGGTGTTAAGTTTTTTGAGTTCTTCATATATCCTGGAGATTAGTGCTTTATATGAGGTGCATGTGGTAAAGATTTTTTTCCCATTCTGTAGGCTCTCTCATCATGTTGTTGTTTCCTTTGCTGAAAAGAAACTTTTTAGATTGAATCCATCCCATTTATTGATTCTTGTTTTTCTTCTTCCACATTAGAAGTCTTGTTAAGGAAGCTGGGGTCTAAGCCAACATGATGAAGATTTGGGCCTACTTTTTCTTCTATTAGGCACAGAGTCTCTGTTCTAATGCCTAAGTCTCTGATCCACTTTGAGTTGATTTTTGTGCAGGGTGAGAGACAGAGGTTTAATTTCATTTTGGTGCATATAGATTCCAGTTTTCCCAGCACCATTTGTTGAATAGGCTATTTTTCCCCCAATGTATGTTTTTGGCATCTTTATCTACTATGAAAAAACAATATTTATGCCTCCGTGTCTTCTCTTTTGTACCACTGGTCTACATGTCTGTTTTGGTACCAATACCAGGCAGTTTTTGTTACTATTGCTCTGTAGTATAGTTTGAGGTCTGGTATTGTGATGCCTCCTGCTTCACTCTTCTTGCTAAGTATTGCTTTGGTTATTCTGGGTCTTTTATTTTTCCAAATGAATTTCATGATTGCTCTATTAGAGAAAGCAATAGAACTAGAAAGTTCTATGAAGAATGTCTTTGGGATTTTAATAGGAATTGCATTAAATCTGTATAACAGTTCTGGTCGTATGGCTATTTTGACAACATTATCTCTGCCTATCCAAGAACAAGGGATATCTTTCCATCTTTAAGGTCTTCCTCAATTTCTTTCTTTTTTTTAAAAAAAAATTATTTTAGTTGTGGTCGGACGCAATATCTTTATTTTATTTTTATGTGGTGCTGAGGATTGAACCCAGGGCCCCACGCATGTTAGAGGAGTGCTCTACCAATGAGCCAAAACTCCAGCTCCTCGATTTCTTTCTTTAGTGTTCTAGGTTTTCATTATAGAGGTCTTTCATCCTTTTGTTACATTGATTCCCAGGTATTTTTTTTTTGAGACTATTGTGAATGGGGTGATCTTTCTAATTCATTTGCAGTGGATTTATCACTTATGTATAGAAATTCATTTGATTTATGAGAATTGATTTTATATCCTGCTACTTTGCTGAATTCATTTACTAATTATAAAAGTTTTCTGGTGAAATTTTTTTGGATCTTCTAAATATATGTAGTCAGAAACAGTGATAGTTTGAGTTCTTCATTTCCCATTCGTATCCTTTTAATTTCTTTGGTCTGTCTGATTGCTCTAGCTAGAGTTTCAAGAACTATGTTGAATGGAAGTGGTGAAAGAGGGCATCCCTATCTTTCCAGTTTTTAGAGGAAATGCTTTCAATTTTCCTCCATTTAGAATGATGTTGGCCCTGAGCTTAGTATAGATAGCTTTTACAATGTTGAGGTATGATCCTACTATCCCTAGTTTTTCTAGTGTTTTGAATATGAAAGGGTCCTGTATTTTGTCAAATGCTTTCTCTGCATCTATTGAGATAATAATGCAATTCTTCTCTTTAAGTCTATTGATATGATGGATTACATTTATTGATTTCCATATGTTGAAACAACTTTGCATCCCTGGGATGAAACTCACTTGATTGTAGTGCACTATCTTTTTAATATGTTTTGTATGGGATTTGCCAGAATTTTATTGAGAATTTTTGCTTCTACGTTCATCAGGGATATTGGTCTGAAGTTTTCTTTCCTTGATGTGTCTTTGTCTGGTATCAGGGTGATACTAGCCTCATAGAATGAGTTTGGAAAGGTTCCCTCCTTTTCTAATTCATTTAATTACTTTGAGGAATACTGATATTAATTCTTCTTTGACAATCTTGTAGAACTCAGCTGAGTATCCATCTGGTCCTCGGCTTTTCTTTTAGATAGTAGGCTTTTAATGGTGTCTCCTATTTCACTGCTTGAATTGGTCTATTTAAATTGTGTATGTCATCCCGATTCAATTTGGGTAGATCATATGTCTCTAGAAATTTGTTGATGTCTTTGAGATTTTCTATTTTATTGGAGTATAAATTTTCAAAATAGTTTTTAATTATCTTCTGTATTTTAGTAGTGTCCATTATAGTATTTCCTTTTCCATCACAAATTTTAGTAATCTGTGTTTTCTTTTTGTTAGTATAGCTAAGGGTTTATCAATTTTATTTATTTTTTTCAAAGAACCAACTTTTTGTTTTATCAATTTTTTGAGTTGTTTCTTTTGTTTCAATTTCATTGATTTCAGCTCTGATTTTAATTATTTCCTGTCCCCTACTGCTTTTGGTGTTGATTTGTTCTGCTTTTTCTAGGGATATGAGATGTAATGTTAGGTCATTTATTTGTTGGATTTTTATTCTTTTAATGAGTGAACTCAATGCAATAAGCTTTCCTCTTAGCACTGCCTTCATAGTGTCCCAGAGATTTTGATATGTTGTACAGGTATTCTCATTTACCTCTAAGTATTTTTTATTTCCTCCCTGATTTCTTCTGCTATACATTCATCATTCAATAGCATGCTATTTAGTCTCAGGTGTTAGAGTGTCTTCTATTTTTTATTTTATTGTTGATCTCTAGTTTCATTCCATTATGATCTGATAGAATGCACGGTAGGATTTCTATTTTTTGTATTTGCTGAGTTGCTTTGTGGCATAAGATATGGTCTATTTTAGAGAAGAATCCATGTGCTGCTGAGAAGAAAATGTATTCGCTCAATGATGGATGAAATACTTTATATATGTCTGTTAAGTCTAAGCCATTGATTGTATTATTGAGTTCTAGTTTCTTTGTGTAGTTTTTGTTTGGAAGATCTATCCAGTGGTGAGAAAGGTTAAAGTTAGCCAGTATAATTGTATTGTATTCTATTTGATTCTTGAAATTAAGAAGGGTTTGTTTGATGTATGTAGATGCTCCATTGTTTGGGGCATATATATTTAGAATTGTTATGTCTTGTTCACATATGATTCCCTTAACCAGTATGAAATGTCCTTCTTTATCGTTCTAATTTTGGCTTGAAGTCCACTTTATCTGATATGATAGAAACTCCTACTTGTTTACACAGTTCATGTGATACACTTTTCCCCAACCTTTCACATTCAGTCCGATATTTCCTTGAAGGCACGTCTCTTGAAGACAGCATATTGTTGGGTCTTTTTTTTAAAATCCAATCGCCAGTCTATGTCTTTTTATTGATGAGTTTAGGCCATCAATTACTGAGCTATAATTTTATTACTGAGATATAATTTGTATTCCTGGTCACTTGGGTTTATTTTTTATTTTTAACTTGACTTGGTTTCTCCTTTGATTGTCCTTTCCTTTAGTGGTAGTTCCTCCCTTTGGTTTTCATTGTCTTTTTCATTTCCTTCTCATAGAGTATTTTGCTGAGTATGTTCTGTAGTGTAGGCTTTCTAGCTGTGAATTCTTTTAATTTTTGTTTATCATGGAAGTTTTTTATTTTGTCATCAAATCTGAAGCTTAATTTTGCTAGATATACAATTCTCAATTGGCATCCATTTTCTTTCAGAGCTCAATATATGTTATTCCAAGACCTCATGGCTTTCAGAGTTTGGGTTGAGAAATCAGCTGAAATCCGAATTGGTTTTCCCATGTGTTATACGACTTTTTTTTCTCTCGCAGCCTTTAAAATTCTATATGTTAGACATTCCCATTATAATGTGCCTTGGTGTGGGTCTGTTGTAATTTTATACATTTGGGGTCCTGTAAGTCCTATAAGCCTCTTGTAGTTGATTTTCCATTTCATTCTTTAGGTTAGGGAAATTTTCTGATACTATGTCATTTGAAAAGATTGTGCATTCTTTTGGTTTGTATCTCCACGCCTTCCTCTATTTCGGCAAATCTTAAATTTGGCCTTTTCATGTTATCCCATATTTCTTGGAAATCCTGTTCATATTTTTTACCATCTTCTCTGTGAGGCTGACTTTATTTGCAAGAGTATATATTTTGTCTTCATTGCCTGAGATTTTGTCTTCTAAGTAGTCTAGTCTGCTGATATCTCCCATTGAATTTTTATTTTAGTTTATTGTTTCCTTCATTCCAAGGATTTCTGCTTGATTCCTTTTTATAATCTCTGTCTCTTTCCTGAAGTGATCATTCACTTCCTGTATTTTCTCTCAGATACCATCCCTTATTTCAAAGATTAGTCTAACTATGAAACTTCTAAACTCTTTCTCTGACATTTCTTCTATTATGTTGTCTATGGATTCTGTTGTTGGAACATTTTGGTTTGTTTGAGGCACTTTGTTCCCTTGTTTTTTCATGTTGTTTGTGTGTTTTCCCATCTAGCGGTATGGATCTGAGGCAATACGGTTTCTTAACTGTAGTCTTATAGTGTCCCTGAAGGTTTCCAGTACCTTACCTGCAGGTACTGTGACAATGGATTTTCAGGGAACAGCGGGCAGCAGGCAATCCCCTGGTAGTCTGTGGGCAATTTGCAGGCTAACAGCAGGCAATTGGCAGGTGGACATTAAGCAGTAGGCAATGGGTAGGTGAAACGCAAGCAATAGGCAGGCAAGAGGTGGGCAAACAGGCAAATGGTGGATGATAGGGGGCAGTCAGCAAGTGATTTGCACTCAAAAAGCAGATGATATGCTGGCAGGCAGTGGGCAATCACAGTGGACAAATGGCAGGTAAAAAGCAGAAGGTTGGTGGGCAGTGATAGCTGCCTCTCAGAGAAACATTATTTCCTCTGCTTGAATCCTGAGACATGGAGTAACAAGGAATATAGCTTTCCTGTAGCTTGCCATCTTGTATCTCTTCAGTGAAATGTTTTGTAATATAAAAACTATTAAAATTCAATAGATCATAATTATTCTTATCAAAGGATATTAATTACAAATGAGAAGTTATGATTCTCATGCATATTTTCACTTCACCTACATTCTTCTGAATGCTGTAGAAAGAGTATATTTTAATTTTTACTTTTACAGCCTTCAACTATAAACATGATTTACCACAGGAATTGATAAACTATATCCCACTAGCCAAATTTAGCTTGATGCGAGTTTTATATGGTTCATGAATTAAGAATTATTCTTATACTTTTAGAAGGTTAAAAAAATCAGAAGATTTTGTCATGATATATAAAAATATCAGTGTCCATAGCAAAGTTTTATTTTATCACAGACAACCCATTCATTTACATATTATTTCTGGCCATTCTCTCACTATAATGACAGCAGAATTGAGTCACTGCAAAAATGACCATATATCTCACAATGCTTAAAATCAACAGGTAAAACAAAATTTCTGAAACTTATAAATTTCAGTATACTATTGACTCTCAATAAGTCTAGAAGTGAAATAAATTGTTATGTAAGTTGAATACCAGATTTAAAAATAAATGTATATCTATGGTCTGTGGTTACTATGTGTCTGAAAAATAGTCTGTTTTCAGTATTAAAAATAGACACAAGGTATTAACTCACTAGGAAAGATACATATGAATTGAGACCAACTGAGCAGATTCTTTTTTCTCTATCATTTTTGAGCATACAGAGAATCACCTTTACCAATCAACTATTCTTTACTGACTTCTCCATTTTATTTACCTATTTATTTTGTTAGGAGAGAAATGGTGATTTTATATAGTCAAGTAAATTAAATGTCCTTTTGAAGCAGCTCCACTAAATAGTAAAGAGCTATAAGTTAGTGTATTTTATGAATTGAAAAGTTAAATTACTAATACTTTCATACATTTTTACATTTTCTGAACTAATTTGTATATACTGCATAGGATTTACTTCTGTAATCAGAAAAAAAGTTAATGCTTTCTTTAATATCCAAAAATAAAGGTTCAGGGATGCATATGTGACTCAGTGGTAGATTGCTGGCCTACTATGCTTGAGGCCCTTGGTTCAATCCCCAATACTAAAAAATAAATAAATAAACAAAGAAAAGAAGGAAAGATTGGTTCACCTATTATAAGAATGAAAACAAATACTTCACCTTTGGATCTTTTGCACAAAATTTCATAATATCCCTCCAATGTCTGTCTACTGTCTGAAACTGACGTCCTTCTTCTGGCATCTGTTGCATGATATCCTCAGAACAAAATATAGGCTCCAGATACAGCCACTGAGCTTGTACTTTTAACCATTCATCAATTGTTTCTTGTATTCGGATCAGACGGTCCTCCCAAGCCTTAATGAAAAGCATACTGTACTAAATTCCAGTTACTAAAGAAATGCTCTAGATTATAAGACAAATTTTTTTTTAAATTTAATGTTTTTTTAATCAATGAAAAATAGTTTACAACTAAAGATTGCTATGGGTATCTTACATAGGCTTAGAAAAACCCTAGGAAGCTTGAGGGTTTTTTCTAAAGCATTGAAACTCACATTTGGAAATGAGTATAAAGTTATTAAACCAGTTTCCTAACCTTTAGAAAAACTCCAAGTCCAAAAAGGATGTAACCTGCTCTATATTAGTGATTGTCAATCATAATCCATTTGTCTTCCACACCAGGGAATATTTGACAATGTCTAAAAAAAATTTCAGTTGTCACAAATGACAGGGAAAGGATGGTAGTAATATATAGTGGGCAGAGGCCAGAAATAATGTTAAATGTCCTACAACACACAGGCCATAACAAAGAATTATTACTCAGCCCAAAATATCAACAGCACCAGGGTGAGGAATCCTGCTCTACATCAACACAATTTGGAGAGAAATGAAATGACATTGAAAAAACGGTAAAATAAATTTCCTTCATCTCATAGGTTGCTTATACTTAACAAGTTATTTCATTAATTGAAAATAATTCATATAACTCTTTTTAGTTCTTAAAGTATGACCTAAAGTCCTATATGTCAAGAAATTAGGCCTCATCTCTCTCTTTAAAAAAAAATTCTAGCAGAACTTTTAAATGTCTTCTAAATTCCCCTTGTTAGACAAATAAGAACTTTCCACACTGAGGATATAGCTCAGGGGTAGGAGTCCCTGGATTCAATCCCTAGTACTGCAAAAAAATAAAAATAAAAATAAAAACAGAGAATAATAATAATTTTCCACAAAAGACATGCTATCTAATCAGGAAAGGCTAGATGAATCTGATTCATGGGAAAATACCCAAATTTATGTCCTCTGAGAAGACCACTACTTTGTTGTTTCCAGATAATGGCCAAGATCTACAAAACACTATGATGTTCAAATTAAATGTTACGTATTGTAAACATACTTCAAAACATCAATGTACCACAAAGTTATTATTTTTCAATTAAAATAAAATCAACTGTAATCCCAATGGCTTGGGAGGATGAGGCTGAGGTTCAAACCCAACCTCAGCAACTTATCAAGGCTATAAGCAACTCAACCAGATCCTGCCACTCATAAAATATAATAAAGGGTTGAGGATGTTGCTCAGTGGTTAAGCACCCCTGGGTTCAATCCTTGGTATCAAAAATAAATAGATAAATAAATAAATAAAAGTTATTGCTGGTAAAAAACACAATAGAGGCCTGGGGTTGTGGCTTGTGGTAAGCGCTTACCTAACATGTGAAGCACCGGATTCAATCTTCAGCATCAGATACAATTAAATAAATAAAATACAGGTATTGTGTCCATTTACAACTAAAAAAATTTTTAAAAAAACAAAAAATTGCTTCGGTTTGAATCACTCTGTCATTTATTATCTAAGTGAATGTAGACAAATTATCTAACCTTCTATTCCTTGGTTTCCTTCTCTACTTATACAGATAACCAAAGTATCTACTTTAAAGGTCTGCTACATGAATTAAATTGGTTAATAAATGTAAATGTGCCAAATCAATATATGGCACACAGATTTGAAATATTTAAGAAATGAACAGAGGTGGGGCTGTGGTTGTAGCTTAGTGGTAGAGCACTTGCCAAATGTGTTAGGCACTGGTTCAATCCTCATCACCACATAAAAATATATAAATAAAATTAAGATATTGTGCTCATCTAAAACTAAAAAAAATTTTAAAATACATTACCTCTTTAAAAAATGAACAGAGGATAGGCAGGAGGTAGGTAGAAGATGATAACTATAAAGGAGAAGGAGTTTTTTAAAAGTACTAAAAAACAAAAGAGAGGAAGAAGAAACAGGAAAATTGGATACTATTGGGGCAAGACAGCAAATAAGGGGCAATATGAGGGACAAAAACTAAGATATGAACAAACAAATGTCAGATCAAAACAACTCAAATTTGGAGCTGGGGTTGTGGCTCAATAACTGTAGCACGTGTGGGGTACTGTGGTCGATTCTCAGCACCGCATATACATAAATGAATAAAATAAAGGTCTATCAACATCTAAAAACAAAATTTGAAAAAAGCTCAAATCCACATATAATTATACCCCATCTAAGTCAAACCAAGGCTAAATCATAAGCAGGTGAAGAAGAAAGCAATTAAAATGAAAGTACAATTATATGTGTGTGTGTGTGTACAAATATATACACATAAAATATACATTGTACATACCTACACTCCCTTTCCACATAATCTTGCAGGATGGAAAAATGTAAGATAAAATATAATTATACTGATTAATTTCAATATATAGAAGAATAAAACTTCATCCCTATCTCTTACGCTGCACAAAGTCAAATCAAAGTGAATTAAAGTCTTAGGAATTAGACCATAAACTTTGCAATTGCTAGGAAAAAGAAAAATAGGACCAACACTCCATCATATTGGTGCAAGTACTAACTTCCTCAAACAAGAGCCCTAAAGCTCAAGTAATAAAACCAAGAATCAATAAGTGGAATGTGAAGGAAAAAAGAGCATGAAGAGAGAGACAACAGAATGGGGGGAAATCTTTGCCTACTATTCCTCTGACGGGAGATCAATATCCAGCATATATAAAGAACTCAAAAAACTTAACACCAAAACACAAATAACCTAATAAATGGGCAAAATAACTAAACAGACATTTCTCAAAAGAAGAAACACAAATGACAAATATACAAAAAAAATGTTCAACTCCTCTAGAAATCAGGAAAATGCAAATCAAAACCACACTAATATTTCATCTCTCTCCACTCAGAATTGCAATGATCAAGAATACAAATAATAATAAATGTTGGTGAAGAGGCTGGGGTTGTGGCTCAGTGGTAAAGCACTCACCTCTCACGTATGAGGCACTGGGTTTGATCCTCAGCACCACATATAAATAAATAAAATAAAGGTATTATGTCCTTCTATAAACAAAAAAAAAATTTTAAATGTTGGTGAGGATGTGGGCAGAAAGGTACACTCATACATTGTTGGTGGGACTGTAAGTTAGTACAACTACTCCAGAAAGCATTATGGAGATGCCTCAAAAAATTAAGAATGGGGGCTGGGATTGTGGCTCAGTGGTAGAACGCTTGCCTAGCATGTGAGAGGCCCTGGGTTCATTCCCCAGCACCAAAATAAATAAAGGTTAAAAAAATTAAGAATGGAACCACTATAAGACCCAGCTGTCCCATTCCTTGGTATTTATACAAAAGAGCTAAAATCAGCATACTGATTTTAAAATCAGCATACAGCATAGTGATATGGTCACTTCAATGATTATAGCACCACAATTCACAATAATCAAATTATGAAACCAACCCAGGCAACTCTCAGTAGATGAACGAATTAAGAGTTTTACTCAGCCATAAAGAATAAAATTATGACATTTGCTAGTAAATGGATAGAAATGGAAACCATTATGCTAAATTAAATAAGGCAGATTTAGAAAAATCAATAGTCAAATGTTTTCTCTCATAGGTGGAAGCTAGAGCAAAATAAGGGGAAAATTTGTGGGGGTGGGTGGGTCAGGTGTTGGGAAGATCAGTGGAGAAGAAAAGGAGATCAAGAGGGAGGTAGGAGGGACAGAAACCAGGAGGAAATGCAGAACGAATTGAATATTCAACAAATGGACTTGTTTACTTGACAGCACATATGTAATAAAATTGCATATGTAACATACCTTGATCTCTTTTTCAAATGGTTTGATAAAAGGTGAGCCTCTCATTGTCTGAGTTTTTATAATCTGATCATCAAGGATTGCCTGAATCTCATCCACTGAAGAAAGAATACAGACTCCAGTATCTCGATACAGACTTATATGAAAAGCAATATCATCCCAAGTTCCTATCATGTTATTCATGGCTTTCTCTAAGGAAAATTCCTAAAAGAGAGAAATAATGGTTTGGTGAAAAGAGGATCTTATTTACTATATTGCCTTTTCCCATGTGATTCAGTAAGCAACTTGCTGCATTACACTAGCATTTTCTGTAATGTAATAATTTTTTGTTAGAAAGTTTTTTTTTTAATAATTCAAAAATTTGTCAGAAGAATGTAGCTTTAAAATTCACTTTTTGCTCTAAAAACTACTGCTGTCAGTATTTAAATGGAAAACAGAATAAAATACCTTCTGGAGTTTCTCTAACATAGTCTTTCTGTAGGCCAGGTCTGAAGATTCTCTGTGTATTTCAAGAACACTATCTCTATGGCCATTTATTTTACTAGGAAACATACACACACACATACACACACACATACCTATGTTACACATGTACCTGCCCAGGATTCTTTTTATTAAAACCTGTGTTTTATTTGCTTATTTTTATGTGGTGCTGAGGATCAATCCCAGTGCTTCCCTCATACATACTAAGCAAGTGCTCTACCACTGAGCCACATCCCCAGCCCCTCCCCAGGATTCTTAATGGAATAATTATGTATCATTTATCAATGCAAACTTATTATCCAGCCAGATTAGAATGTGGATGAATCAGGAAGAGGTCAAAAAAGCCATTTCTAGTCTGTATTCAAGACAAGCAAGCACATGCTTTGTGCAGAAAAAGAGAGTATTCTTTCATTTTTGCCCTCATCTCTATCCACTGCTATCCAGTACTAAACACATTCGATCACAACAAAGCTATGATTATGCAATTTACAAATTCATCAAAGTATTTCAGTTTTGCTGGGAGCCATTAGCCAAGTAAGTAGGTATGACAATTTCCTTGCCAGCGTACCCCATGTTGCAGTGACATTGAATGTAGGTGACCTTGCTCAAGGACCAAGGCGGATTAGGGCGTTCCCGGTTTAGGTTCCAGGTTTAAGGTTTAAGATTATTCCTGCTGGGAATAGGGCGTATCCTGCTGCCTGAGTTCCCCTTGAGTTCTCACGGGATTTAGACAGTATTTTTTGGGAGACAGAAGCCCAGTGGAGGTGGATTTGGGCAGAGAACGTGGATTTCCCCAGAACGTGTTTGTAGACGGCTGGTGTGAGTTCGGGAATAAAGAGTTGCCGTTTGAATCTACAAGCTGTGTGGTGGCTCGTGATTGTGTGCCCAGCCAGACTGCGGCATTTGTGCCCAGCCAGACTGTGGCACAGTTTATCTTGATATTTACCTTGCTTGCTCCTGCACTTATCACTTCAAATTTTTCCAAGTATGGTGTAAGGTTTAATTTCAAAATTTTTCTCAATGTGGTTCCAGAGTCTGGAGTCAAGTCATAGCCAACAATTTCTGACATCTGTTTCCAGTGACGAGCTCTCATTCCTGGATTGCATAGAATGGAGACAGTAGGAATATACTCCTAATGGTAAAAATATAAACAATAATGTCATTTGACTCCCATACACGTAGATTCTATAGACAGCCCTTAATAGTATGAAATATATATTTCTTCAAATTATTTAATCTATTTACAGGAATACAATTAAAGTCTCAATTACATTTTGAGGAAGAGGAAAACTAACAAAATGATTCTAAAGTTCATCAGATGAAATAAATACATTTTTACATTTAAAGATAAAAAATTTGTTTTAAAAGTTAACCTGAAAAATAAGCATGTAAAAATAGCCAAGAAAAGTATAAAAGTTATAAAGAATGAGAGGTAAATGTTCTATAAAAATGTATATGATAAGGGCGGGAGTTGTGGCTCAGCAGTAGAGCACTCACCTGGCATGTGTGAGGCCCTGGGTTTGATTCTCAGCACCATGTATAAATAAATGAATAAAATAAAGGGCCTTCACCAAAGAAAAATTTTAAAAAATGTATCTGATAAAAGTATACTAACTAAAGCAATAGCATTATTTTAGAAATTTTAAGTTGTTTTATATATATATACTATATGTAGAAACATGTTACAATATTAAAATATAACACACACACACGAAGGGGGAAAAAGCCTTATCAAAATGCCAAAATGTAGCAACGTTTTAATTTCTTCTGAGTGAGATCAAGAGTTTTTAAACATCATCTTACATTTTTCTGTATTATCTGCTTTTAAGTATTGCTTAAAATAATATAAATTTTAAAGTTTTTAAAATAAAAATAATATATTCAACAACACATTTGTCATTCTTGATATCAACAGAACATTTTTCTTAAAATCAGGTACAAAATAAGCATACCAATTTTACTACTTCTAATCAACATGTATTCAGCCAGTCCAAAAATTTATGTAAATAAAAGATATGGGGATTAAAAACCAAAAACAAAAACATTATGCTTCACAGATTGCTGTCTATGTATAGTTTCTGGATATTAAATTAACATAAAGAAATTAAACAAAATTTCTACATACTAGTCACAGCTAAAAACATAAAAAGATCAATTTATAATAGTAATAACAAAATAAAGTATACTGGGATAATCAAATTAAAGCTCTGCAAAGCTATTTGGGAGAAACCATATAACTTTATTCAATAATGTTAATGAAAATCTAAATAATAAAGATAAATCTAATAAGATACAAATAAATCTAAATGATAGAGATTCACATAAGTGACAAAGGTCATTGTCCAGAATATGTTATAAAAATCCCAAATATTAACAATAAAAACAGAAACAACCAACCACACAAGTGGAGTCCAAAGGTATAATTGAGGATTTATGCAGAAGAAGAAGTATGAAAGTCAAATTGAATGTAAGTTCTATGGTGGTAGGAACTTTTGTTCTTTTTACTGGTATGTCTCAATGAAGCACACAGAATACTACCAGTTATATCACTGTCAACCAATAAGAATTTGTTTAATAAATAAAATTTGAAAGCTAAGTTACATTTTATTAGAAATCAGGGAAATATAAATTAAAACCATATTAACATAATTTTGTATTTACTAGAGTAGCAAAAAATCATGACATCTGATGATGTGAGAATATGGGACTGGTAGGAATTTAAACTGAGAAATAATTTGAAATTTTCTGACAAAACTGAACAACCATATATTTTAATATTCAGAAGTCTCACTACTAGGCACATGCCTTTCTTAGAAAAACTCTTGCCCATATACGCTAGGACACAAGACTATAAGTTAACAGTATTATAGGTACATGAAAATGTGCTTAACATCACTAATAAACAGGGAAACACAAATTAAAATTACAATGAGATCTCATCTGTGTTAACCAGCTTTCCATTACTGTGACAAAATGCCTAAGAAAACAAGTATTAATAATAGCAAAAAGGAAATATACCATATGACTATAAATAGGAAAATTAATAAATTAAGTAAGAAATATTCTATAGTAGTTGAAAAGAAAGGAAATATAATTTTGAATTGAGTATGGTGATATATACCTGTATTCCCAGCTATTCAGGTGACTAAGGCAGGAGAATAGCAAGTTCAAGCCCACCTGGGCAACTCAAAAAGACTGCCTCAAAATAAAAAGAGTTGAGGATGAAGCTCAGTGGTAGAGTGCTTGCCTAATGTCTGTGAGGCTCTGAATTCAACCCCTCGTATATACTGGGAAAAAACACAGTGTTCCATTTTTAAAAAAATCAATTTATACAAAACTGCTTATGGATGGCATATTTATTAAATTCAAATTTGGGGCTGGGGCTGGGGCTCAGCGGTAGAGTGCTTGCATTGCACGTGTAAGGCCCTGGGTTCAATTCTCACACCATATAAAAATAAATAAACAAAATAAAGGTATTATGTCCATCTACAACTAATATATATATATATATATATATATATATATATATAAAAATTCAAATTTGATTAAAACAAAAAAGCAAAGGAATTTGAAACATAAAACTTATGATACATTTAACTTTAAGAGGAATTAAAGGGATAAAATAGGGAAGGAATCACAGAAGGAAAACAACAGTATTAGTAACCTGACTCAGAGGAAAGGATTCATGGGTGCTCATTTTCTTACTGTACTTCATAACTTAAACACATTAAATATATACTGTGTTAAGGGGCAAGGATAAGTAAGAAATGGTTCTTGCACATCAAGGAGAATAAAATATAGTGAGAAAAATAGATTTTGGACAACTACTCCAAAGGTGGTAGAACAAAGAAATCATTAAAAAAAATTAAAATAAGATATATAAGATAATACAAGTGTTGAGAAGAAAGAGTGCTTATTTGTCCCTCTTCCCAATCCAAAGCCTTAAAAATCACACTGTTATTCTGATCTACCTCCTTAAAATAAAATTCACCTTACCTGTTCTCCAAATGAAAAAAATTAATTGCTTCAGGCCCTATTTTTCTCACAGGATACTGATATCCTCTACTTAGGAATTTCTTTATTCTATGAATCAAACATTATTACCCTATGTACATATGTAACTATATTACCAGTGGGGTTCTACATTATGTATGACCAGAAAAAGAAGAAATTATACTCCATTATATATGACATATAACAGTGCATTATATTACTGTCTCATATAACTAACTAAAACAAATTTAAAATTTTTTTTTAATGATTTCTTTGTTCTACCACCTTTGGAGTAGTTGTCCAAAATCTATTTTTCTCACTATATTGTATTCTCCTTGATGTGCAAGAACCATTTCTTACTTATCCTTGCCCCTTAACACATAAAAAATACTCCTCTCAGTGATGGTCAAATATTTTCTGAATTTAATTTAATTTTATTTGTATCAATTCTGTACTGCAAACAATGTTCAATTTCACTAATGAAATTATTAGATATGGTCGAAAGTCAATTTGAGAGACCTGGCAAAAACTAAAAACAACAACAACAAAAAACCCATACTACATTATTAGACCTTATTTAATGTCAATATCCAAGCCAAGTTGGCAAAAGAAATAAAACCAAGAATCAACAAATGGGATGGATTCAAACTAAAAAGTTTTTTCTCAGCAAAAGAAATAATCAGTGAGGTGAACAGGGAGCCTACATCCTGGGAGAAAATTTTTACCCCTCACACATCAGAAAGAGCACTAATCTCTAGGGTATATAAAGAACTCAACAAGCTAAGCACCAAAAAACCCAAATAATCCAATCATTAAATGGGCCAAGGACCTGAACAGACACTTCTCAGAAGAGGATATACAATCAATCAACAAATATATGAAAAAATGCTCACCATCTCTAGCAATCAGAGAAATGCAAATCAAAACTAATATATCATCTCACTCCAGTCAGAATGGCAGCTATTATGAAGGCAAACAATAACAAGTGTTGGCGAGGATGTGGGGAAAAAGGTACACTCATATATTGCTGGTGGGACTGCAAATTGGTGCAGCCAATTTGGAAAGCAGAATGGAGATTCCTTAGAATACTGGGAATGGAACCACCATTTGACCCAGCTATTCCTCCTCTCAGACTATACCCAAAGGACTTAAAAACAGCATACTACAGGGACACAGCCACATCAATGTTTATAGCAGCACAATTCACAATAGCTAAACTGTGGAGCCAACTAGATGTCCTTCAGTGAATGAATGGGTAAAAAAAAAGTGGCATTTATACACAATGGATTATTACTCCGCACTAAAAAAGAACAAAATCATGGCATTTGCAGGTAAATGGATGATGTTGGAGAAGATAATACTAAGTGAAGTTAGCCAATCCCCAAAAAACAAATGCCAAATGTTTTCTCTATTATAAGGGGGGTGACTCATAGTGGGGTAGGGAGGGAGAGCATGGGAGGATTAGATTAAATCTAGATAGGGAAGAGGGGTGGGAGGGAAAGGGAGGAGGAAGGGGATTAGCAAGGATGGTGGAATGTGATGGTCATCATTATACAAAATACATGTATGAAGATTTGAATTTGGGGTCAAAATACCTTATATACAAACAGAGATATGAAAAATTGTGGTGTATATATATTATAATGCAAAAAAAATCAAGTACATGTATAATGGCTATAATTGGCGTGAACATACTTTATATACAGAGATAGAAAAAATTGTGCTCTCTGTGTGTAAAAGGATTATAATGCATTCCACTGTTGTCGTGTATTTAAATAAATAAGAAAATTTTAAACAATTTTGTTTTAAAAAATGAGAACTATATCTGGGTGCAGTGGCACACTCCTTTAATCTCAGTGACTTGGGAGGCTGAGACAGGAGAATTCCATTTGAGACCAGCCTTAAAAACTTAACAAGGCTGTAAGCAACTTAGTGAGACACTATTCTCAAAATGAAAAAATAAAAATGACTGCCTAAGTGGTTAAGTGCCTCTGAGTTCAATCTCTGATTGAAAGAGAGAGAGAACTATATCACTCCTCAGTATTTATCCTAAAGAATGAAAGTCATCATACTGTAGTGATACAATTCACAGTAGCCAAACTATGGCACCATCCTAGGTGTCCATCAATAGATGGATGA